TGAAGATTAAAAACTTCACCATTTATTACTTCTGGCTCTGTCATGACACGAACAATAGTTCTTGTAATTGGCTCTACAACGTAATAAGGGCATCGAATATGAATCTCCTTTTGAAAAAATATGTTTGGAATATGAAATTATTCACCAAACAATCGCCCCTTAGTCACCGCAATCTAATGGAATTGCAGAAAGAAAGAATAGAACCTTAAAGGAGATGACGAGTACATTGTAGATAAGTTCTGTTTACCCCAGAACTTGTGGGGTAAGCTATTTTTACGGCTAGTCGAATACTCAATCGAGTTTCCCACAGCAAAACGCAATCCATTCCACAAAATGGAAAGGAAGAAAGCCCAACTTAAAATTTTAAAGTGTGGGGGGTGCTTGGCTAAAGTGCAAGCTCCAAAACCCAAAAGGTTAAAAATCAGACCAAAAAATATTGATAGCGTTTCATAGGATATGCAAGAAATAGTAAGGCATATCGTTTTCTGGTTCATAAATCAGAAAATCCCGACATTCATATTAATACGGTAATCGAATCAGATAATGCTTAATTTTTTGAGAATATTTATCCATATAAAAAAGAATGTGAGTCGTCTAGTGAAATATCCAAGCGACCTCAGGAAGAAGCAAAAGAAAGTACACCAACTGAGGTGAATCCAAGACGTAGTAAATGTCAAAGGACAACTAATTCCATTGGATTAGATTTTATGACATTCTTGTTAGAAAATGAGCTTCAAACTTCGGAAGAAGTTATGTCTTCCTCGGAAAGAAGCAGTCAATGGTGAGACAGAATCCATATTAAGTAATCATACTTGGGAATTGGTTGATCTTTCTCCAGAAAATAAACCTTTGAGTTCTAAGTAGTTTTTCAAAAGGGAAATGAAAGTTGATGGCACTATTGAAAAACATAAGGCAAGATTAGTTGTCAAAAAGTTTAGAAAACGAGAAGGTCTTGATTATTTTGATATATACTCGCTGGTAACGAGGATTACATCTATTCGGATGTTAATAGCGCTAGCCGCCGTGTATGACCTTGAAATCCATCGGATGGACGTAAAGACAACCTTCTTAAAATGGAGATTTGGAGGAAGAAATTTATATGAAACAACCTAAAGGGTTCGTGGTTCCTGAAAAAGAAAGAAGGTGTGTCGACTTGTTAAGTCACTTTACGGGCTAAAACAAACACCCAAACAATGGCATGTGAAATTTGTCTAGAAAATGTTGTCAAATGGTTTCAAACTAGTGTATTTACATTAAGAATACTCTAGATTATGTAGTCATTGTTTGTTTATATTTGGATTATATGTTGATAGAAAAGGCACATGAAACATGTGAAATGTGGGGGCATTTAGCTAATGCATAACAAAAGCTAATGTTAGATGTGATGTCTATATTATTTAGAAGAACTGAATGATATGATTCTTCGAACCCCACGAATCCTTAAGGATATTGATATGGTATTCGGTCTTAGTGATGACTAGTGATGAAACTACAAATACGAAAGTTGTTTACGTGCCTTTATAGAAATGATTTGTTCTTTCTTGAACATTTATAATGTTTAGTTCTTTTACGAAATGTGTCACCTGGAAGGCTGCGACTTTTCATGAAAGTGCGATTGTATGTTTTGTATAAATATGACCGTTCATGAACGAACGCATTAATACGTTGGTCTATAATGAGGTGAACCAACCGATGAACATGACCAAAATCCATTGCAAGTTGGATTTGTTTCATTAATAAAGGTGCTATTATTTGCATATCATATAGACGTAAGAATAAATAGCATATAAATGCTTGAAAATGGCGGAGTGATTGCGAAATATGTTGGATATTAAAAGGTTGTGGCCACAACTGATGCCAATCATTCCAGCAGTTGCTATAATATACTATTGCTACATTAACTGTAGTCAATAATCTGATATGCAATAGAAAGTTGAGACGTATTAGTCTACGACATAAGAAAGTTCTTATTGAACTATCAAGACAATGAAAGGAGTGTTGAGATATTTGAAATATACTCAAAGTTATGCTTTGCACTACAATAAATATTCCGCAATAATGAAGGAATACAGTGATGCAAATTAGATCATCGGTTCAACTATTTTTAAATCCACAAGTGGATATATTTTCACAGACGGCGGAGGAGCGGTGTCTTGGGAAATTATCCAAATAAACAGGCATTGCCGCTCTATAATGGAGGCTGATTTTATAGCCTTAGACAAGGCCGGTGAAGAAGTTGAATGGCTCCTAAAATTTTCTTGAAGATATTTCATTTTGGCCTAAATTGTTGGCATATATATGCATATATTGCGATAGTCAAGCAGCAATAGGAAGGCCTAAGAGCATTATGTATAACGAAAAATCTCGTCATATATGACGAAGGCATAAAACCGTTAGGCAACTATTCTCTAGGGGAATTATCATAATTGACTACGTGAAATCAAGTGAAAATGTGTCGGATCCACTTACAAAAGGCCTGATTAGAGAGGTAGTTGAGATATCATCGAGGGGAATGAGACTATGGCCGAGGACAAGTCATTGTGGCGGTAACTCTACCTAGAAGACTGGAGATCCCAAGATCTAGGTTCAAGGAGATCAAACAAAGTCATTAATGACGGTTCAACATTGTCAAATAAAATTTTTTTTGGTCCATTCTCGTGATGAGACATTGTTCAGTACCAAGGATAAAGCGTTAAGGCTTTTAATGGTTTCTAAGTTTGATACAAGGTATATCAAAATAGTGTATCTATGTGATAACACGTTTAAGAATCACCTATGTAAGTGTGAAGTGTAAGCCGCTTCAAGGAGAATTCTATAAGGCCAATTCTCTACGCACTTATGAACCAGGTGGTGTTCATGGCTGAAACGAACACAACAATGAGAACCAAAGACGGTTAAGGGTTGATTGTGTGACTTATGGTTGTCTAGGTATACACCAAAGTTTGACGGTTCAAAGATATCAAATCTACCGGTTGACCGAGTATATCCGACATAAGTTCTCTACGGAAAGTTCAAAGGAAAACCTACTTATCCAGATGCGATTAATCCTTACTTGCGAATCACACAGTATTTTCATGCATGTTTTTACATATATGTCCATTTCCCATTCATGTGGGGGATTGTTGCGTTTTTTCTTTAAAAGGTGTGAATGAGAAATGTAAGAGGCACCTTTTGGATTGTACCTCTCCATATCACCCTTCCTTTGTCTATAAATTTAGAGGCTTGGCCTCATTTTTCATATATGAAAAATCTGAAAATTTCTCCCCTCTAGACTATATTGTTGCATTATTTTCAAATAAACATAAGTGTCAAGTGTGATTTGCTCCGTCTTTTGAGTTCGCTGAAATTCTGTAATTTTGATTGCCAGCATTGCAGAATAGTTATTCCGTTCTATCCTTGGAGGAATTAATCCAAAACCTTGGGCAACAGTGAGGGGATTAAATTTCTTAAGGACACACAAGCAACTTGTGGACTCGGAATTATTTTTTCTATTTTGGTTATTAAATAATATTTCTCTGATTTTCTGATTTCGAACACGGATTACCAACAGTTGCAACCGGTGAACATGCGTGGGCACCGTCATCTGGATTGTTACCAAATGGTATACAAGGAAGCAGTTGGTTTCAACCAGAACAACCATTTGAGTTTGGAACTCCTGTAGACAATGAAGAGTTTGTGAATATTGATGGTATAGAAAAGAATACAAAAAAGGATTCAAACAAACTAATCTAGAAGAATCGAATATGATTTAAAAAGTGCGTAGTAGTGAGGGTGGTGAGAGAAGAAAAAGAAAAGCATCAACTGCTATAAATGAAAAGGAGAAAAATAAATTCAATACCAGCCTAAGAATTACATCATCAATAGAGAAAATTGTTGAAGCCATACAATCACGCTCTTCAATGAATATGGGGTCAAAAGACTTCACTTAGTATTAAGTATGTAATGGATGTTGTTCGTAATTTACCCGATATGATTGTTGATAGCGATTTATGGTGGAAAGCAAGTGTGCTACTAGTCAAGCAACCAATGAGAGACATATTTTTAGCACAAGAAGATCCAGAGTTACAATTGCAGTGGTTGGAAAAGATGTCTGAGCTTCAAAAAGAATAAATTTAATGAGATTACCTATTATTATCTGCATTTTATTTTTTCTAGTTATTGAAACTTTAAATTTGTTTTAAAATATTGTTCTAGTTATGCTTTATGGTTATTGGAATCTATATTGACTTTTATTCAAGTTACTAATTTATTCTGAAATTTTGGAATTTTGTGTCGTTGTACTTAGGTGATTTTTGAATTTAATTTTTTTATTATAAGTGTATAGATTGTTATTCAAGTAATTTTATTTTATTCTTTTTCTTACAGATATGTCATTCACAGTAAATAATGATGAGCATGTTGACGAAGTTCTTATAAATGAAGTAGATGACGATGACGTTGTACTTGACTTGGTAATTTTTAGTGTATCTCTCGCATCAGAATATTATTTAAAATTTTGTCTAAATACTCCATGCAGAACTTCTCCTCATACAGGATTTTTTTTCATCAAGGAAATACTTGAAGGGCATTATAAGAGATGTTATGACATGTTTAGGATGAAAAAACATAAATTTTTTGACTTATGCAAAATACAAAATGAACAATATGATTTGAAAGCAACAAGAAAAATGACCATAGATGAGATGGTTGTTATGTTTTTACTGGTGGTCGGACATGGTGTAGGGAATCGAATGATTCAAGAACGATTCCAACACTCTGGAGAGACTGTTAACAGACATTTTCATCATGTTTGATAGCATGTCTGAAATTGAATATGGATATTATTAAGCCAAAAGATCCAACCTTTTATGATATTAATCCTAAAATAAGAGAAGATGACAGGCATTAGCCATATTTTTAATTGCATTGGAGCTATATATGGCACACACGTGCCTTGTATTGTTCGCTCTAAGGAACAAATCAAATACATTAGTAGAAAAGGCTTCACTTCACAAAACATAATGGCTGTATGTGATTGGGACATGTGCTTCACATTTGTATGGCCTGGGTGGGAAGGTACTCCACATGATGCTAGAATATTTGATCAGGCACTTAGAAGGCAAAACCTTAACTTTCCTCATCCTCCATCAGGTAGCAACACTAATACTATGTCTTGTGTTATTTTAATAGGAAGATTTTATTTTTATTCATCTTAATTAACACTTTTTTACTTGGTGTAGGTAAATATTATTTAGTTGATTCAGGCTATCCAACAGATTTCAAGCGCAACTCTAGTTTTAGAGATCCAAATGAAGCATTCAATTTTTTCACTCCAGTCTTCGATGTACAATTGAAAGAACATTTGGAGTCTGGAAAAATAGGTTTTCTATGTTAAGCTCAATGTCATCTTTCAAGTTTGACACTCAGATTCATCTTGTTACAACTACCATGGCTATACATAATTTCATCCGACGACGTTCTTCTACTGATAAGGAATTCAACTATTATGCTAATGAAGACATTACTGCAGAGATTGAGGAAGGATATGGGCCTTCTGGTATTCCTTTAGAAATGCAAGACAAGTCTACTACTATTATGGAGGCGTTGCGTGATAGAATTAGAGATGAAACTGTTGAGAAATATTATCATGTGTGAGTGACTTTGCTTATTATTTCATGGTGTAAATAACAAGTAATTATACAAGATAATATTATTGCTTTGGTATAACTATATATGTTACAATGATTTAAATCTTGAATATGTATCTTTACTTTATATTTCATATTTTAATTAAATAAAATAATAAATAATAAAAGTATTTTACGATAAATATTTAAGTTTATTTTCTCTTTAAAATAATTATAAGACCTTTCTACTATCCTTTTTGGTAATTTGACACTCAAAAGTACTTTTTATAAAGATTGGCCAAACACAATTTGTTTATCAAATATTATAAAAAGTACTTCTTAAATGTATTGGCCAAACACAAATTATTATTTTTTAAAAATACTTTTTAAAAAAGTACTTTTTAAAATAAGCAGATTCTGACGGCTTGGCCAAACGAGCTCTTAGTATACATTTGGAATATTTAGATTATATACAAATTACGTTAAAATTTAAATATTTTGGACTATATATTTACATATTGAGGGACATAGCCATCAGACTCCCTATTTATCTATTTTGTCAATTTTTAATATTTTCCCATCATTTTAAGCTTTCTCTATTTACGGTATTTACACATTAACTGCCAACATTTACAGCAAGGCTCCCAAGGGACGCCAAATCACACTGAAAACTTAGGACACATTTGGCCATAGATTTTATTGAAATATATTTGAGTTTTTTTGGCAAACACATGTTTGTTCATAAATTTTATCTACATTTCGGCAAATTCCCAAAACACGAAACCCAAATCCCAAACCAGCTCAAAAGCTAGTTTTAGCCCAAATATCACTATTATATTTTTTAAAAATTGCGCCAAACTTTTGGATTTTATAAAAGCGCCCACCATTTATTATTTTGTACCAATGCTACTTCGTCTTCTCGGTCATCTGATAGTGTATAGTTTATTATAAATGATAATTTTGTACCAAATTTATTTATGTTCAAGACTATGGTTTGCGATAATATAATGAATGTTATTGATAAAGGTACTGTTGAATATTTGTATTAGTTTTTAGAACATATGGGTATAAGTCATGTTTATATTTTTTTTAAAAAAAAAAGTGAAATATGTTTTGAAAACTCATGCAACACATGAGTTTTCAAAACATATTTCAGAACTAAGCGTTCTCTGTCTTGTTTCAGCGTCCGTTCTAAACGCAAGGATTCCATCTATTCCTGATTCGCCACAGCTTATGAAGCCTTCACCGTTATCACCGGCCAAAAATACATCTGCTTCAAGAATTGCACTTGAGGAAAGCAGACAAAGTTGTGGATATTGGCCCATTGTTATTGGTGAGAAGAAATTTCAACCTTTTGTTTGGAGTATTGTTGTTATTCCAAAATATTACTACAAATCGCTATCGCCTGCCAAAGATACATCTGCTTCAAAGGACGGGCCAAAATTTCGACAAATCACTCTAAAAGTTGAGGGTAATCTCTTTGTAGAAATCAAAGTCTTATCTTTCTTGCTCACGTGGGTCGGGAATTGTTCTCACAGTTTTTCCCCCCAATTGTAAATGTATAAGTATGTTTGTGATTTCTGCAAGTCCGAAGCCTTGAATCGGAAAAAGGTCTATTACTCCATCTTCAATTGGAAGTATTTTGGACAATATTGGTTCCACTTGCCAACCCCTCTTGCAAGTAAGCCCATAGTATATTGATCTTTCCTCCTTTTCCAATTTATTTTCCTTTTGTTTTTCGGTTTTTCCTTTCATATTTAGTTGTTGAGTTTTTATTCAAGAGAACGAAATGATGTTAATCTCATCAAACATAAGTGACAACAATACATAGTTTGTTACTAGGAGTAGGAAACTCAATACTAAGGAAACGTTTTGGATAAGAAGGATTTAGAGAAAGAAAAAAGCGAGCAACATCTCAAGTCCATATCCCAAATTTTTACATTAGCATTTTTCTCTCTCTTAGTTTCTTATCTCATTCTTTTGCTCTTATGTTTTTATTCAGGTTCATATATGTTGATTTAAAAGAATTGTGTCATATTATTCTTCTTTTGTGAAGAGAAAAGATGCGTTAAATAGGGAGAAACAAGTAAAAAAAATGATAAAAAAGAAATTAAGAAAAAAGAGAACAGAAGAAAACCAAAAAAGGAGATGGACGTAGATGATGATCATGTCAGTTTCGATTGCCATATTACTTCTCCATTATTTTTTTAAATTACAGTTAAACCTCTCTATAGCAGACTCGTTTGTTCCGGATATTTTTTTGATGTTATAGCGAATTGTCGCCATAGAGAACATATATTATAAGAGAACATGAAGTTTGGTTTCGGAAAAAACTTGACTTTTACAGTGAAGTGTTGTTATATGAGATTGTTGTTATATAGAAGTCTAACTGTACCAAATTTGAATAACAAAACACTTATTTCGAACCAGTTTGAGCAGATCAAATACCTATGTGCGCACAATTTTTAGTGGGCGTTTGGACATAAGAATTGTAAAATTCCCCCCCCCCCCCCCCCCCCCAAAAAAAGTGAATTTTTTTTCAAGTGAAAATGGTATTTGAAAATTAGAGTTGTGTTTGGACATGAATATAATTTGGGAGTTATTTTTGAAGTTTTATGAGTGATCTTAGTGAAAATTTTGAAAACAGTTTTTTGGAGTTTTTTAAATTTGTAAATTTTTTAAAATTCATCTTCAAGTAAAAATTCAAAATTGTATGGCCAAACACTACGAAAAAAAAATAAAAAAATTCTTATGTCAAAACGGACTCTTGGTTTAAAACCAATTCTCTCATCTGCAACTCAATTTTGTCTCCCACAATTTTCTTTGTTGTGACGTGTGTTCATATATCTAGGGATTATCACTAGTTACATATACATATTAGATATCATTTAGGAAGAAAGACATGTAACTGTTTTTCATATTTTGTACTGGATAACTCGTTTTCTTTTTTCATATTTTGTCACGATCTAAATCTACCATGTCGTGATGGCGCCTAACGTGGAACTAAGCAAGCCGACTCTTTTACCAAACAACCCGATATTTCAATTTAAAGGTTACTTCAAGCTATTTAATTAATAAAAATTTCATAAGATAAATCTAAATGACAAAGTGCTGAAAAAAAGCCCGACATCGGGGTGTCACTAGTCATGAGCATCTACTAAAAAACTGTCTGAAAACGCTAATATAGATACAGTCTGGAAACCAACTAATAACATCTATAGGAAGATAGGAGGGAGAAGAGCAAGGCTGCGATCGCCATGCAGCTACCTTGCTAACTCCAACAGACCAGCGACGGATGAAATCAACGCTCGCTAGCACGTCCAGCAACCCCTGGATCTACACACAAGGTGCAGGGAGTAATGTGAGTACGCCGACTCAGTAAGTAATAAAGGTAATTAAAGACTGAGCAGTAGGAATCACATAAAGTCCACATCATGAAATCTCAGTAAGTACAACATGCTTTCAAATCAGTATATGAGTCAAATCATCTCGTTTAAAAATTCAGTTTTCGGTAAAAATCATTTGAAGATATTTGTCAACAGTTTCAAGAGAGGCTCAATGCAAAAGAGAGTAAAAGTGATGAAAGTCATTGTCGCGCCCCTTTTTCCTTTCGCGGAATCCGGGTTTCGACATTCACTGGGAACAACTCGTTTCCTTTTGGGAATTGGGTATTTGAAGAGTCGCCACCTAACGGATTAAGGTGTGTTAGGGCACCTGAAGCAATTAACTCATGTAACCAGTTTGCATTACCAGAGATTAGGGTAAGGGCTCGAAATAACCTTGAGGGGAAGGTGTTAGGCACCCCTCGCGGTCCACAACGGTGGGTCCCGGCCGAACTTAGTTATGTGAATTAGTCATTTAACAGGTAAGCAGTCTAAGCACACAATTGCAAACAAGGGTAGTTTATGCAGTCTAAGCACACATATATAATCAAGAAAGTTTAGACGGTCCAAGCACACATATGTAAATTTAAAAAGTTTAGACAGTCTAAGCACACATACTTAAGGAAGAAGTTTGAACAGTCCGAGCATACATAAATTAAGGAAGTTTGAACAGTCCGAGCATACATAAGTTAAGGAAGGGAAGTCCTAAGTTGGTTAGCCTATAGGATCACATCTATACAATACCCGGTAAGCCTTCCTCAACTAGAGGGGTTACGCGTGGCATTAGTGTACAGGTCATCATATCCTTTTACTACCCATTACCCTCCCCTTAGTGGTTATATAAGCGAGTTTAATTAACGAACTGTAGGCGTGCTTTACCCGTCCCTTCCTTGTGGTCCCGAAGGTGTTTAGGACCTCTATACTTAGGTAGTTCTAGACACTCCTAGGTATTTAAAAGGTAAAATCTAAGCGAAAACAAAGAACATATAGGACTATCAAATAGAGAAGCAATTAGGGGCTCATGTTTACCTCCACACATAAATAAATACGTAGCACGTCTCAAACTTAAAGAAATTCCGAAGGCCCTAGAACATGATATCTAGATGAACATCACAAACACAGAATATGCAGTTTTTGTTTTAAGGCGAAGTGGTGGAATCCTAATCAGTTTGCCTACTGATTTTAAAGACTGTTAAAACTGGACAGTTTCACACATAAACAGAGGATAATTTCACAGTTGTAAGACCATTAATTACCTAAGGCTTGCCTAGGCGTGAGTTTGTATGCAATCATAATTCTGAGAACTAGTTGAAACAACTTGAAGTTATCCAATCCTATAGGCATGCTGATCTAGGCGATCAATTTTACAAAGCTGATTTCATGCATGTTTATGCTAGAACGTGATATCTATGTGTTGGACTATTCTTAAACCTTTTATAGACAGTTATTCATTTAAGCGACGTAGACATAATTTAGAGCCAATGCAAACAGAGTCCTAAATCAGAATTTCTAATGCACAGAGAGAGATGGTCATTTTATTAAGCATGATCACATCAATAGTTTAATTATAGAGTTGAGGTGATGATGACTTCAGGCAGAATCAGAAATAAAATGATGACTATAACATGTTTCCTAATATGCAAAG